TAGGTACACCAATCACACACAAAAATTTTATGACTCTTCTTTTCTTAGAAAAAAAAACTTTACAAATTGTTGAACGCTTGTCAAAGCAAAAAAAAAAGCACATGGCGTTGGTGTTAGGTCGCTCAGTTCTGCTCCTACTGGGCTGCACAAAAATTTTGTCGCCTTAGTTTTCAGCTTAAACTAAAACGAGTTTAGTGTTCAAGGAATGCAAAATGCAGCTACAAAGATGTCAGCAGATGTTTCCAGTTTATTTTCTCTTATATTATCAATTAAATTCTAGTTTGAACGAAGCAATTGCAGGAAATATCAGGCAATTATATAGTTCTACCATACCTTGATGCATGCCTGCGTATACACAAGCTATGCATGACGTGGCCTGTTCTTGCCACTGCAGCAGCGCAGGAAGCCGCTCGTTGCAGGCGCTGCAGTGACCGGTCCTCTTACGCATGATCGCTTAACGATTCCTCAGTGACATTTCTGAGTTGGTTTCATTTGAATTGTTTATTAGAAAACTCAGAATTGATGCTAACTTGCAAAGTTAAATTGATTAAAAGTAATTCAAGATATTAAAAAAACAGTAAATGCAGTAGTGTAGATCCACGAAATAGGACATCTGCTACAGATGTAACATATGTAATGATGAGATATGTAATGATGAGATACATCTAATATGTAATGATGAGATACATCTAATTTTTTTGAGTATACGTATATTGGACTTAAGTTTCAAAGCCGACCGATATTATCCCGGAAAAGTTCCTCAGACGGTAAGCGCAATAGTTTTTTAATCCGCAAACTTTACGCTGTCTTAACTCGGTCATAAAGTTTTTTCCTCCTAATTGGAATGATTTAATTTAAGCAACTAAAGAGTTATTTAGGAATAAAAATGTTCGTTGGCCGAGCGCCTGCCCATGACGATAGCGCAAGAAACTCATAAGTTTTGCATTCACGTGTTTATAATGTAAATTCACGTGCTTACAATGTACATTCACGTGTTTACAATGTACATTCACGTGTTTAATTCACGTGTTTATAATTAACATTCACGTGTTTACAATGTACATTCACATGTTTATAATGTACATTCACGTGTTTGCAATGTACATTCACGTGTTTACAATGTACAGTCACGTGTTTACAATGTACATTCACGTGTTAACAATGTACATTCACGTGTTTACAATGTACATACACGTGTGAAAGAAACGTGTAGTTTTCTAGAGTTATAATGTACATTCCTGATGAAGCAGGAAACTTAGTGTTGCCTGAATACAATTACCCGTACCTGAACATTCAGTTGCAGGTATCAACAATGTACATGTTATCGTAGCAACAGTCGGTTAACTTCGTGCTATTGTAGTATCCGCTGTGAAACCTTTTGCAGTGTAAAATAAGTATTTTGCTGTGCTTAAGTGGTGGCAGTTGCGCAGTGCGTCACCACCATTTACAAAGACATTCACATGTTACAGCGGTCGCAGCTGCGATATGTAGCCCGCTGCACCGCTCACTCGGTATATACACGCATCGAGGACGTGAAATATAACTCTTGCTCACATTGCAGTCCGTTGGAACAGTCGCAGTCTTGTAGCTGACTCACAGCTGTTTCATATCTCCCAGATAACCAGGTCGGTCACTCGACAAATCTGTCGAATGCGAGATAGAACGCTTGGAATCTAAATTTCTAGAATTTTAGTAAATTATAAAGTATACCAATCAATGCATGGAACTTCGAGTCATGCTTACCCAACGTATAACGAAATTGCAGCATTTGCGTGAACGTAATGAGTAACAAATCGAACCCTACGTAAGTTCTGTTTCTAGTTTACAGTTACCCGTTACCCATTCTATAGAACTAAAACTTGATATCAGGTTTGAATGAGTGATTTGACCTATGGTTTTATTATTTTTTTTGTCTTACTTTTTTTTGCGGTGAAATAATTTTCAGAAATAGATGACCAATAGTCTTATTAGTATCATGATATAATTTTTCAGAAGTAAATTTACTGATGATGAGAACTTGAACTGCATGCAGGGAAAAGTTGGTCACATCCTGTGGGAATAACAGCTACGCACATCCCGACTAGCTTGGCATATCGTACAGAATAGCACTCCGACCGTGGGATGTGCACGGCATAAGAGCTACGCACGTCTCGCCTGTATAGCTAAAACATCAATTATTAAATTATGATTTAGATGGCGATAGATAACAAACTTTCTTTTGGTAGAAGTGTTTGATAAGCTCTTCGCGCCTGAGACGTGCACGGTATAAGAGCTACGCACGTCTCGCCAGTATAGCACTCCGCGCCTGAGACATGCACGGTATAAGAGCTACGCACGTCTCGCCAGTATAGCACTCCGTGCCTGAGACGTGCACGGCATAAGAGCTACGCACGTCTCGCCAGTATAGCACTCCGTGCCTGTGACGTGCTTGAGACGGTCGTATTTTCCGGTCATCCTTGCAGCCCGCCAGCGGATGAGCGTCGGTGTCTCTGCCTGTTCGCTTGTCCTAAGATATTGAGAGTGACGCAAGATTTCGTTAGCAGTGCGCATCAACTGCGTGGTTCTTTACATCATGAACATTATTCGTAATCAGACTAAATTTTTTTATTAGGTTCAAATGACAAATGCAGCATATAGTTACGGAACTGCTGTCATTTGATCAAAATTATTGGATGTGTGTAACTTAGGTAATTGGGGGACATGTGTTCTGGAATTCGAGTTTTACTAATCGCATCATTTTCGAGGCTCAGTAATGTGTAGAACAGCGTGATGAAAACACCGGAAATTTTCCGCAAAAAAAAAAACATAAGTCCGTCTATTTCTTCCCTGTGCATTGTTTACGAACTGGAGTTTATGCAGACATTCCTCTCATATTTTTATACACGTTATACACGTAAATGTTTTATTCAACGAAGGCTTGTGTTCAAATCAAAATCTTTGGCTGAATTTAATTAAAAAGTTTTTTCGTAGCCACATTATTTATGTATACAAAGACGATCGAAGTAATTACTGTGCGGTGTTAACAACGCTTGATCTGCAGCGTAGGAGGCCTAGGCTTTATTTGTTGTGCATTGTGAAGCATCTCGCCCGAGGCCTCTAACTTGGGCGCTCTGCATTTAGTGTGCGCATCTTCCCTACAAGTACAGCCTCGAGCTGATACCTTACACGGCCTTACAGGTCTGGGCGAACTAAGTTCTGCTCCTGGGTGTGGGTGACTCGCCCAGTAATATTATGGCTTCAACACCTCAGGCTAAACTAATATTCTGGCTCATCTTTAACTTTGCTAAACTACACGTTTAGTTGAGCCAAAGACTTACTTAACTGAAGCCAGGATGAAATAGGACCAATAATTATTGCGTTATTTACATTGTGCCCAGAAGATGGCGAACGAGTTTTAAATTTAAGTGCCTATATTAGCAGTCGCGATTGTGCGAGAACAGTGATGTTGGCATGTATTATTGTTTTCTAATCTGGTAAGTGAACAAAATTTGTTCAATAATATTTAGCCTGAGTTACCTATTTTACCTAAGTTATCAAATTACCGAAGTTGTTTTTATCGAACGCTGTTGCTTGCTGACACTTTGTGTGCCTTAAATTATACAACTGCGTTATTCATATAAATTTGATCTTCGCTTTGCATTTTAATGGTCAACTTAAAATGCTCGAATGTTTTAAGCGTTTGTTTTGCGGTCATTAAAGTGTGAGTGGGACTGAGTGTCAAGTCTGTTTAGCTCATCAGGGGACCCGTCACTTTCTAGCTCAAGTGGATTACTAACGAGTCCTCGACCAGACCGAGACTGTGCTGCTTTGTTGTGTGCAAGTAATAGATTTTAAATTTCCTGAGCGTGAATCGCAAAGTGCTTATCCTGGAACTTTGAAATCTCTACCCCGAGTTACTCCTCTGGGTATCATGTGAAGGATTCAGTTTAATAAAATTCACTGAAACCGTTCTCATTCAAAAAACCGCACGAGTTTATTATCATGAAGTCTCGATCATTGAAATCATTGTCGATCTGAATTCTTCCATTCGTTAATGCAAAGGGAGACAAATACTTTTTATGAGAAGGCAAACATTTTCATCCACATTATCTGGTAAACGCTGCGTGACTCAGCGGCTGCAGGAAGGCCGGGTGTGTCTTATCAGCCTGACACTGGACCTGCTATCGCCCCTAGTTGCGCTGCCGCTTCCGGCGAACGCAAAAATTGCTCGTTTGCGCTTACACTAATTGCCAGTTTTCTAGGCAAGATTTATGGAACGAGAAAAAGCTTTTTATGTTTCTTCTTGATTCAATTGAAAGTGGTTATTTGTTTTAACAGAATTTCAGCAGTAGTATTCTGTGAAAAAATAATGAACTTGAAAATTTATTTCACAATCGGGGATGTTAAACGCGTGTGAATTAAAGTTCACGGAAGCAATAAGCATGACCATTATTTTAAAATCTAGTAATAACAAAGGCAAGTTTCGTTTTCATAACTCATAAAAAATAAAAAAAAATTTAGTACATAATCTCAAATCCAATGTGATACAAATCACATTAGTGAGCGTAAATAAGCTCCTAAATGCTGCGCTTCTTGCATAAGGCCACTCAGCCTCTGAGGCGGCGGCCGGAGCAGGAGTTTGACTTCAGTAATATGCAAGACTATGAGTTCGACGTGGAAGGTGAGTTATCAGACATGGATTCTGACCGGTATATTTATTATTTGTACTTACATTTGCTGCATTAAAATTCACTCACCAGTTGTAATTGTGAGAGGTGCACGGTATGATGTTAAAAGGTTCAGACTAGTCCGTCACTCCGTATGTTGTAGTAATTTTTTCAGTAGTATACCTCGGTATTACGTGTTTTCTATCATCTTAAGAAGATTATTGATGAATAACTGATGAAAAATATTTGAATTCGCTGGATTATGATTACTTTCAACAACAATACAAGTATAAATTCCAACTCACTTTTTATGAATTTACATAATTTGTGTGTTTTTTCCTGTTTACATTTCAGGCGAGTTTGACGTTTACACGATGGAGTCGGCCATGCCAACCATAGACTGGGAGAGCATCGAAGCGCACCTTGAAGCCACCAAGGAGGAGGAGAGGCGGGTGAGTTTTTCTGAATTGAGGATTTGTACTCGCACTCCTTGCTATCTTGTATTATCTTCAAATTAGTTACAACTATTATAATTATAAGAGATTTCAGGTTTTAAGAGAACGACGAACGGTGAGTAGTATATTGTTGATGAAGGCTGAGTCGTGGCAAATTCTAATTTTCAGTGCCTGTCGGCTGTCCAAAAATATATAGTCTGGTTGTCATGAAAGCAATTTCTATCATAAACATTTATTACAGAAAACGTGAATAGAGATTTTATCCTTCCAAGTATCACATAATTAGAAGAAAAATACTGTGAGTTCATTTAGCCTGCTAACAAATTTCAGACCTAGTTTGGGGTTTTCAATTAACGCTGCATATGAGATCGCGTTACGACAGCTACCTACGAGGCTACGTTATATCAAATAACCCCTGCTTTATAAATATTTTCGAGGTCCTCTCAAGTGTCAGTGAACTATTGTACCAGCGTAGAACAATGATCTTGGCGCAACATCCCTGTATTGAACGGTCTATAACACTATTTTAGAAAGGCTTTCACCCAAGTCTGGACATGTGATGAGCACAAACAGCAAGTGAACGCAATCCAAACCCATTCTTAACGATCAAGGCTCTTGAAAAGCGAAGCGGCGCAGCGTAATTGTGCGGTAGAATGGATGAATCGGTCTATGCTTCGGTTTTGAAGATTTTAGTTAAAATCTAAGTTCTGGAATCGAGTGTTTTATTTGCTTATCGGTACAGTGTTTTTCAAGTAAATAAAAGTGCACACTTTTTATATATATTATAATATATCTTCGCTAAAAAGTGGTACAGACTTGGTTTGAGAGTCAGTTCATAATAAATTTAATTATTTAATAAAAAAGTGTTTTAGGCCTAATGACGCCACTGTACGGTGGAGATAATTACATGCTATTTCTGGATATTCTGGATAGCCTTGGTTGACGTTAGAAGTATTTTGATGGTCTTCTTGCTTCCTCGTTCGAAAAATTACAATGGCTGGCAAACATAACGCAAGCTTCAAGTCTTTGTGAATTAATTATGTGATGGTTGGAATGTAGCATAAAGTTTTAATTAAATCGTTTGTTTAATGGTTTGTCTAGTAGATTGACAGTGAGTGCAGTTGCTGCGCCAAGCAATCGAGCAAGTGGGATAGCGTTCATCCGTGTCGGCCTCAGCTCCTTTATTTCTGGGTTGCCGCTCACACTCGCCCAATATTTTTATGAATATTTAATCAGTAATAAAGGTAGATTGCCAACTGTAATCTCCACTCGTTTCATGACTATTTATGTGTTGCGTCTTTGTCATATAAACTGATATTCGGCATTGATAAGATCGTAAATCGATCAAGTTCGTGCAAGAACATATCAGTACAGCTAAACCATGTTATATTTAACAAAGAACGTGTTACTACTGATGTATGCTTACGACATTTCCCCCATCTAATGTATTAAATATTTTCATATTCAAACAGTGTTAGGAGAACAATCATAACAAACTCGTCCTCGAGGTCGAAAAGAATCAGTGGAGCGTGAGATAGGAGAGAGCCTTGTTTACGTGCGCACAATCGAGCGTAAGTGCATCGACTCCTCGCGCATGCGCTGTTGCGCTCCGTGATGAGTTGCTACAACCTAATTCCTGCAGCGACAGTTCGTGTGTTGAGGCCTCGTTCGTGGTTGGCTGCTGAGTGTGACGTCATGGTCTCTCTTGCCTCACACAATTCGTGATGCGTGACTCAACACCAGCAACTCTCATCGCTGGCCTCTGGCAATAGTTGCAGGATCCCTGGCACGATGCAACGGCTATTATGGATTCAGCGCTGCCGTAGAATTACTGACAAATTTAATTATCAGTAACTATTTAGTATAAATATTATTTCCTGACTTTAAATTGGCACTCACAATGTATACGCAAGCTAATGAGGATTATTTTTGTAATAATCAAAAATAAAATATTATTTTCAAATATGATCTTAAGACCTCAATCGATATGAACATTGACCTCTGAGGCCTACAAACACCATAGCAACAGATTCATGACGCCTCTGTGCCGCTGCCGTGACGAAGAATTTTGTATGCAGTATAACACTATAGAATGGATAATGAAGTTATGTCGATAACTTACATGAATAAATTAACGCTATGAACTATGATCACATGTTATGAATGTTTAATTAGGACTAGCAAGATTTATGCTCAAGTTTCCGAACGTTTTCCCCAGCTGCGTCAACTGCATTTACATAATCTTGAATGTAAAGAATTCAATTTATAGCCTTGCAATAATGACATCATTAAACCTGTAGTAAACAGTCGCGACCGCAAACGGAACGGTCGAATTACCGGCATCGAAATACTTTAAAATCTGCCGTGATCAGAAGGCCTTTATTGCTGTACAGGAGGTACAGTTAAAGTTACAGCAGTACTGCTGGCAGTTATAGTTGCAGTACAAGCTGCAGCAGCACTGCTGACAGTTGCAGTATAGCAGTACAACAGGTGTAGCAGTTACAGTTGCAGCACAGCAGCTGTAGCTGCAGCAGCTCACGAGGCTAACGATCGTACAGGCTCTCAGTGCCTGGATTGCTTCCGTTGCCGTGTGAACGCATCGTCATGCAAAGCAATTCTATTTTTCTTGTATCATTTGAATGCATCCTGAAAATTACCTACATAAATGGACGCATTTGCTTCAAGAAAATTTTTTCCCATTAGAGGTTATAAGCTTTTCATTTTAGACAAATCGACCGCAGCGTTTTCCTACAGTGCAGTATACTCATGGCTATTGATACAGAGCTGGAACAAATAGAACAATGGTGCTTATTACATTCAGCTGAGGAAAGTCATGTTCAAGTTTTGTTGAAAAGAGGGATTCGTTTTAATAGAACTCCTGGAACTGTGGTATGACTGAACGCGGAATGCTGTCGTCCGCGCCGTTCACCTCAAAACGGTGTCGTCTCTTACCTTTATTTTCAATAATTTCTTGTGAAATTTGGCAGTGAATTTTTCTTAAAAGTATTGAAGTGATGGATTAGCAACTTACTTTATCGAAAACGCTCCTACGGTGAACGAGTCTGATAACAAAAGAAAAAAACATTTTTTACCATAGATTACTCATTATTGTATATCTGAATCTTTCAGCAATGCTGATAAAGTCTTTATGGCCATTTTGGCCGAAATTATATAAACTACACATTTCTTATTTCAATAAATAATCTTTGATAGTCATGATGGAAATTAAAACTGCAATTGTCAGGTTTATGTTTGACACTGAATGGAGATTTGCATGTTGCTAGGCACGATTCAACCCATCAATGGACGAAAGTGACATTCGATCAGATCTATGAGAATCATTTCAAATAGATCATCGACTCTCAATATGCGTTGACTTGGCTGCTGAAAATTAGGTGATATCCTCGTCAATAATTCATCACGATTATTTAAGGTCTATTATTTTATTATTAAAACAATCAAGTACGGGACACTTCTAAAAGTTAGCTCTTAAAAAAGGGCATTTCAGACTTCGAAGTGGGGATTATTATAGCGCATCAGTGCATGTTTTAGATTGATAGTTAGCGAACGTTATTAGAACTATGAGTGCCTTTTAGTACATTACTGGCGTATGGCGTGAAGGTTAAAGTGAAATCTTATAGTCTCTGAACGACTGACAAACATGTGCAGCACTCACTGGTGACTCAGTGCATGTGGTTGAAATTTCTGCGGACCCGGATCTCCGCAACCATTTCATTGATGCATTCATAAACATTAATTAATTACAAGCATAAAATAATTAGAAAAAAGAAATAACTAAAAAGGCACAAATAAATATCTTGTCAATACATTGTCCGCCATATTGGCTGGAATGTGACACGAATCAATATTCTTAATTCACTCAGCATGAATTCCTGGGACTCATGATGGAAAGCAAACACGGTTGTTGAAACGTCTACACTGATCGATACTTGGAGTATTTGCTTTAGAAGGGACAAGATTGGTTACAAAAAATTTTTAGATCGTCCAGTAATTAAACGAAATAGATTTTTTATTTAGAAATCAGCTGAGATCGATGAAGTGGCTATCATTACTTGTTACGTGGTCGGCCATTTACTTCTTTTGACTGCACCTCCCAATGAAACTCGCCATATTTCTTCTAGTTAATGTAGTTCCCGATGACATTTGTCATTTTTTGTCACAGTACTACTCAGTGACACTTGCCAATTGTCAATTTGTCTTCTAGTGACTGTATTACCAAATAACACTTGCCATATCTATTCTATTGACTGCACCACTCAATCACAATCATTTCTCTCTTTTGGCGACTGTACGACCCAAAGATATTTGCTGTTTTCTAATAACTTTACCACGCAATGCAAATCGTGCGTAATCTATTCCAGTTACTGTACCACCAAATGATATTGGACATATGTCTTCGTTGACCGTTTGTTTTCTCAGCCTCAATAAAATAATAGATTCTGCATTGTCCTACATCTTACGCTGAACGTCCAAAGTCTAAATGTCACTTCTGGCAGTTGTAGCGTAGGTACGGTATTGATTGGCTGTTGGGATTACGACGTAGCTTGTATTTTTCAACACATGAGCGACTTCTATAAGGTCAAGCACCCTCTCATCCGACAGGTTTCAGACGCATGATAGCATTCAAGCCTATGGGGAATACAAGCATTTTCGTCAAAAAAAAAAAAATCTAGAATTGTGACAAAACCTGACCTTGCTCTGATAACTAGCGATGTTTTAATTGCGTTAAATTTTATGGAAAGAGAAATATAATTTTTTCCTGGTAAACGAACGTAGCTCAATTACTAAATTTTTAAAATAATTCTATATTGGTCTGAATTTAGAGTTCAACATTTATAAAAACTACTGCATAACCATTAAACGAATATCGGTCAGGAGCGTTATATGTCTCAGTGGTCACCTATTCGTATACATTAGGATGTTGTAGTGTCCTCTACGCTACGCTCAACAATAAACTCTTACATGCGCTTGATTAA